TTATATTTAAATGAATTTACACAAGAAACATGAGCTGTGTAATATTTAAATCATCCATTAAATCATACAGAGTATAGTGTGATTCTATATTAGAATGTATTTGATGATGTTATTCCGAGACAGAATAATCATTAGGTTTTACACAAATAATTTTTTTCTCAATATAATTATCGTTTTAAAGGAGAAATAAGCAGAATCTGTAGAGAAAGAGAGATCTTATTCTCCGTATCTTTTTCCAACTTTCGGTGTCTCGAAACGTGGTGAAATCAAGTCTACGGGGAAATCATAGTTGAATTTATTAAGCCAACGCGAGTAATTTCCCGCGAATAAATATTTAAATAACACGGACGATTTATTCAATCTGGCCAATATCAAGCGAGACTCAAACGCGGGACGGTTCTGTCGATAAATTTAATGTTAAACGATTAATTTCGCGTAACTCGATGCCGTTACTGACGACGGGCCAGCAATCTCGCGTTGTTTTGTACATTTAAAGCGCACAATTTTTCGCAATCACGTGCAGGCGCGCGTGCATGAAGAATAATTATGTTCACTAAATTTATTTAAAATTAACATAATTAAATTGCAGTTAACATCACAGCGGCAAAATTGTCAGTAACAAAATGTGATTAAAAGTTGTTTATCTAAATTTATATCCTCGGAGGAAAACCAGCCCTGGTTAAGCTACGGGCTGGTTATTCGAATTCTCTCGGAGGAGATTAACCCTCGTAGAAGGGTTAAAACAAGCATCATCCTTTTCCCGCCTCTAATCTGGCGGTTTAACGTCCACTGATCCACCTCACGCTAAGTTTACTTGGCAGTCAAGGATTTACAGCGCGATTTCCGGAATATATAAATATACGTATGTATATATGCATGCGTGTATAAGGGCGCGATGCAACAACATGTATTCGTTTCGCTGCAAATTGAAATGCGAAACATTTACTTATACAATTCGCTGTGCACAACCATCCACGTGTGTTATGGCTGTTACGCGCCATGTAAAAACGGGAAAACCATTTGCGCCGGACCCGGGAAAAAGATAAAACTGTTGAATTTCCCGATAGCTTTGGTAAATAACGGAGGCGACAAAAAAAAGAAGAAAAATTAACGCGACCACATTCGCACGATACCTCAAATTTACGCCCGGCACGTATGTACCCATTAAAATCACCTTAATCACTGGCGCAGTGTTTCCTCATTTTTTCTCGCGACGATGCACGTGTCCCGCACTTTCTGGCAAATATCTAATTCCTTTTTTATTGTTGCGTTAATCAATTAAGAACGATGGCTGCAGATAATTAAATCAGTAGCGCATCGATTTATTTAATTAATGAAGGAATTTAAGAAATGCACAAATTAAACATTGTAGTTAAAACTCAAACATAAAATATAATTAAAGTTAAAATTAATTTATCTGGAATAAATATACAGTGGTTCACATTAAATTGCAAATTTAGAGAATTATCGAATTCAATTATTAAATTAAGTAACGAAACCAATTGATATATTACACACGCGCGCCCCAAATTGACGCCTCTCAATATGCATGCGCCGCCAAAGGAAGACCAATTGCGCTGTTAAACGGTTACAAATGTTAAATAAACTCAGTGCGAGGTAAATCAAACCTCCCCCTCCGTACTTCCTTCCCCGTCCCTTTTCGGAAGAGCCGCACGACGTGACTAACAGCACAATAAGCCATCGATCTACCCTTTTCCCCATCGAGCTCTTTTTTTTTTTTTTTTTTTTTTTTTTAGGGTAAACTCGTTCCGTCGGAACAATCGGATCGCCTCGAAACGATCGCCCATTCAAACAGCTCCCGACAACCTAGTCGGGGTGACGAAAAAAAGGAAGACTGAACCGATGACGGAGAGGCGGTGCGGAAAAAATCGAAGCGCGAAAGCACGATCGCTCCGACACGTCGACGGGGTTGGAATCCGTCCTCTTTCGGATGCCGGCGGCGTTGTGCGAAAATCTCCGAACAAAAATACACTCCTCGTTGCTCCCGGAAAATTAAATCTTTCTACGGAAACTGCCGAACAAATCGACACAATCGTTCGGCACGTCGACGGGACTGGAATTTGCTCCCTTTGGAGTACTCCTAGCATGATGCCACACGGAAATCTCTGAGCCAATATGTAGAGAATTTGTAACTTGCATATAAAATGTTAACAATGTATTCTGTATTGTGTGAGTCTGAGCTAAAAATTTAAACGACTATATATATATATTAGTATATATATATTAAAGTTGTGGATATATATATATCCACAACTTTTGCATTATAAACGATTGAAATACAACTCTCTTTGCGACTTCAATTTGAAAGATGTACATAAATGTACAGCATACACACACATTTATGTATAAACTTTATTCATTTAATTTTAGGTGGACTCTAAAAAAATTTTTTTCAATTAAAATAAATTGACTTTACCACTTTACTTTTGGTTCCTAATATAAATGTATAGTATGTATAATATTGGAAATTAATAAATTGAATAAACAATGACCAGCCTCTATGTTTTGCATAAAAATTTTTAAATATTTATTATATTTAGATAAAATATTTTCTCTTTATATTACTCTTAGTTTTATGTAAATTTCATTTTTTATATTTGCAATTAACTATAATATGTATATATACAAATTTTTAAAAAAAGATTCCACATTGTTTTCGTGTAATCGTTAATTTAGTGTATCCAAAATGTAATCAGTCTAATTAATAATTAATTAATCCGGTAAATCCAATCTTGAATAATAATTAATTTAGGTATATTCCATTATTAATATTATCATTCATATTATTAATATTATATAATCATGAATAGTAAATCTTAATTATTATTTGATTAAGCGATAATCAGTATAATTTTAATTATTTTGCCCAATTTTGTGCAAATTTATTCTTTTCTGCTCGGTGTAATTTTGCTGACGCGATGCTGCGGAAACTTTTCCGGCTCGAGAGTGCACAACCAAATTCCGGCCTCTGTAACTTTCATCGATACAAGGCATGATTTTCCCTCGTCGTCGGTCTATCTCATCGACGTGGAGACTGGGTTGCCGCGTTCGTTCTCTCGCCGACACAACCGTATTTTTAACACCTCTCTTCCCAGGTGATCTTCCTTTTTTCATTTTTTTTTGTCGAATCCCGCTTTCGAAACCCGTTATCGTCGTGAACGAGTACGCGTTGCATATATATACATATACGAACGCGAATGACGCTTCGACTTATGGCATCGCATATACCGGACGCCCATTAAATCCGTCGATTTTAGCCGGGAGTTCTTTTTCGTGCTTTGAGGTCGTGAAGTCGCGGTGAAATGTGTAACAAAAAAAAGGAAAAAAAAAGGGGTCAACAACAGAACGATACAAAGCGAGACGCGCGCGCGCACGCGTGCCGAAAAATACGCTCGTTAACTCGTTATTCGCGTCCCACAGAGAAAGAGAGAGAGGTTGGTGATTTTATCGGGATTGCTTTTATAACGATGCAACTTTGCGGATCGGATGTATCTGGCGGAGAAAATAGCGATGGAATTTGCGATGCAAATGTCACATTAAGGGGCGTAGAGTCGATGTAAAAAGCCGAGACCTGTGTCTGAACATACGACGAGATAAATGCATATTTTTACATAGTGGCGGATATATTTTATCTCACATTGCGATGATTAATTCTGTTGGAATATGGAAATATTCACTCAACGTCTCTTTCCGTTTGTTTTCATTGCAGTACCAAGATTACCAAGATCTATAGAAAATATGTCTTACGGATGCACAAAGATTAAAAGAAAATGCAATTAAATAAAATGTGAAAATAAAAAATCAAAGAGAGATAAATTACATGATTCAATTATATAGCTTTAACAAAGTCGAGTAAAGAGAGTGAAGATGTTGTTACAACATTGTTAGCTTATCTGTTGAATTAATGCAATTATCGGTTGTAACTTTAAATATCTCAGTCAATGTATTTACAAGAAATTAAAATAAGTTTGTCGGCATTAAATGAACAAAACGCAGTGTTGTTCTTCAAGTTTCACAACTTAATCCAGTTAACGATACGCAATAAAAACTCGCATTAACCGGTCGTCAAAGTTATAAACGCTGCAATATTTAACGAATTTGTACAATCAAATCGCCATTCCGACGTCAGAAACGAGAAAAAAGGTCGATAATCCGCGACAACGACTTTTCCTTGTGTGACATAACGTATAAAATTCGTTTCCGCCAAGGAGATGGAACAAAAATAGCCGTCAATGACAGTGCATTTCTTCAATGAGTGAAATCGAGCGGGCGGCTTATTACCTAATGATGCGAGATCCGCTTCGAGTTCTACAAAGTTCCAGAAGAAATCGAAAAGTTGCTCCGTTCTATCCCGCGTGCGTTGACACGACACGAGGAAAAAATCGTACAATATACATATGATATGATGAAATAATATTCGTACATTGGAAATCCATATAACTAATCAATTTCTCAACGATATAATTAAAGAACGGCATTTTGCTGGATTTCTCATTTTTTCTCTTCTTGTCAAAGTATCTCTTATGAATAATTTATAGGATTAAAATAAAAAGAATTGTACACTGATAAAATTATCCAATATATTCCAAATTATTCTTGCAAATCGAAAATACTATTTTTTTAATAACAGCATTATTTAAGTTATTCTATCTAGTTTTCTTTTAATTATTTTCGGGAATTTTGTTCATACAGAATAAAATATAATAAATATTTAATTTATCCGAGATATAAGCTTGAGAATGCTTAATAACTTTCTTTCTCTCACACCGTTTCATTTTCTACGAAAAAAACAGTGTGTCGACGAAAGTCGTATAAAATAACGACATCCGCTTATGTGCATATATCTATCGAAGATGAAAAAGTGCTACTTCTCACACGTCACGCACCTTTCCCCTTCTTTTACCGGAGACAAGCAAGCACCTCGCCGGTATATATCACGTGTCACGCGCCACGCACACTTTAGTATTTATCTAGAGGAAGGGGAGGAAAGACTTACAGAGTACCTCTCTCGACCCAGTGCGTCGCGCGATTTCACGGTGAAAGGACCGACGAGGCCATCGAACGAAAGGAAGAGGCATTAGAAATTTCTACGGCAGGTCATTTCTCATTGTTACGATCGTATCGTCGTCGCTGTCGCTCCGAAAACTTCCGAGAGATCAAACGCCGTGATCTTGAACACCCCCGATCGACCCCGGGTTTCGGCATGGCTCCGGCAATCAAGGTGAGTGACAAACGTGCGCAACAGGTTGATGCACGCTCTCGCGCGCGATACGCAATCTCCCGCCACCCTATTATATAGGTGTATACGCGACCGGTGATTTAAAGTTTCGAAGGGGTTGCGCCCTCGAGGGAGAGCCGAAGCTCTCGCAAAGCTCGCGAGCGAAGCTCACACGTTTAGGGGAGAAGCGGTGCTTTTGTTTCGATATATATGCAGACAAAATTCTCGCCCTCCGATAACTCGCCCTTACGTGATATCGCCTCGAGGAGCTTATTCATCGGGCGTTCAAGTTCAGGATACGGCGCAAGCTACTTAGGATCCTTCTCGCGAATTCTCGCCCGGTGTCGTACATTTACGGCGCAGGGTATTTCGAGGGTAGAAAAGAGAGAGAGAGAGAGAGAGAGAGAGAGAGATCCTCTACCGCATCGCGCTTCCGGGCGATTTATTTTTATTGTAATGCGTTTCAGCTCGTACGAACGGAGATGCCCGCTGGCGAAAATATATTTGTGTTAAAAAATTGCTCCACTTTGCATAATTGCATATTTGTTTGGGATGTGTGTTTCAGAAGTTGCGCAGCTTTTGCAAAGCATACATCTATGTCCGAGAAGTAAAGAGTAATAAGTCCAAAATTATCGGTTTTCACATATTTATATTATCGTTAAGCTAAATCAATAAAGCAAGCAAATAAAGTATAGAGTAAATAAAGCCCGCGATTAAAGCTCGCAAATTGTTTGATAACGCGTATTGATATAGTAATAAGGTAAATATTATAAATAATTTGTTTGAAGTGAATTTGTCATATAATAAAAATACATGTAAATAGAATAATTTATTTAACTTATTTTGAGAGTGCGTATTTTTTCATGACTTGTCTTTTTCAGAAAAAAAATACATTTTTTTATATCTTTTTGCTTTCCGGATGCAGATATTCTATTTAAATGAAGCAAATATTGGAAGCCAATAAAGGCGTATTTTATGACCATATTACCGAATTTGAAATGAACGTTTGTTGAAATGAATATTTGCATGTATGCAAAGGTTCGTATTAATGCGTCATTAGATTAAACCAATAATGTTCCATTGTTGCGTGCCTTTATATGGCTGAACGATTGCATGATGCAAAATAATTACGCCTTGCACGTTTACAAAAACATTGTAATGCGTTTGAAAGCGCTGTACTCGGGAATTATATTGATTTGCAACAGCTATACAGTACGCAAAGAAGAATAAATAAAAGATGAAAAAAATCACGTTGAAAAGAAACCTTATGTCGAAATCTTTATATCCTATTAATGAGACAGACACGTTGTTATGTGTCTCAATTTATTTGATTGATAAATAACGCGATATTAACTGTTATTGAAATCACATCTTCACAAGTGTTTTTCTGAAATATTGTTTAAAATATTGTGTTGTTTATGACATAATTAAATTGAGATGCATTGTTTTTTTAATATTGCAAGGTACACAAAATTTCAGAAACATAATATAATTAAAAAAATACATTTACTTTTTGTTTTTAAACATAAAATAAATATTTTTATAGCATAAAAGAACAAACATAAGTTAAAAATTTGTAGTCTCAAAATAAAAAGGAGAAATTTATGTAATTTGATACACATGCCTTTTGAATTACGTTTTACGAATTCGATAACTTTAAACTTTAAATAATTGATACAGATGCTCGCAAAAAATAAGAATCGCGAATAAAGAATTTTACAAGAGAAAAGAGAATTTTCCTGTTACAAAATCGAATTATCGAATTTCTGCACGTAGTGCAACGGTTATATGTGCGGCGCGATTGAAACGCCATTTTATCGACAATGCGATAACATTATAATTCATACGTATCGCAGTCGTATACTTATGCCAAAGGTGTGGAAATATCACCTGACTAGAATAACAATCGCAAAAGTTGTTGAATGATTTCGTAAACACTGCTGCAACCACATTGTGGTCTAAAAGCACATTCACAGCCTCTATAGTAATGAATAAAGGAATAAACGAAACTTTCTCTTACCGAAAAAATTTGCAATCTATTTTAAAAAATGCGAGAAACTAAACTGGCTGAAATTTTCTCATATTTCAATATCTGAATCGCATTTCATATAAAATTACAAGATTTCTAAACATTGGTAAAAAAATAAATTAGCGTGTGTGTATGTGTGTGTGTGTGTGTGTGTGTGTGTACGGAATGTGTTAGCACATCTTTTTTAGAGTTTATATTAATATATAAAATAATTTTCTTGTTAGAAAAAATCTATCGTATTTATAACATCAAAAAATTAAATATTGAGAAGAATGCCATATGTGTTAATCATTAATAAGTATTGCAGTTTAAATCGAGAATGAAACTGATAATTAAACTTTGATCGTACAACAAGTACGGGTTTGTTCGGTAATTATTAATCTACAATCTACTATTAATTTCGTCCCAAATGGCCTGTTTCACACGCGAATATTGTAATCGGAAGAACAAGAGACGTTATTTACACTGATCGCGCTCAATATCAAAAGCGAAGACGCGGCGACAATCTCGCTAGTATACATATATCTCGATTACCGCTAAGCAACTGTAAATTAGTTTGATAACCGTAAATTAATTGCGGTCGCAAATAATACCCCATCGACGGGGCGGCATGTCGCTAAATTATTATTTATCGCGACGGCGATATCGGTCGAATGCATATAACTTACAGGAAGGTGTGCATTTTCACACTGATATATCTCTCGGTTACCATTCATCGCCGAGAGAGGATATCTCTTCTTTCTCTCTCTTCCTCTCACCGACATAAATGTAAATTAATTTTATAATAATCGCGTAAATGTGCCGTGCGACACACACGTGACGACGCGACGTGAGAATAAATCATACGGTCAAAGCGGAGCAAAAGTGGCGCATATAATTGCACGCTATATATATATATATATATACATATATATATATGTAATTATCGCGCTCTGTACGGGCACGAGTTTCTCATGAACGTAATTAATACTATACTAATACCGACAGTTCTCGGCGGCACGTCGTATGCTTACGGCGCATTATCGGTCGCATTGAATGCAGGCGTAATTAACGGCCCGTATGCGAATCGCCGCTTGTGCAATCGAGAGCGAGAGAGGAGATGCTGCATATCCGAAACATTCCGGCGCGTTATAACGCGTTTATCGCAAGGCGCGACGTGCCGACGATAAAATCTATATCGCCACCAATTTGCCATTCCGAGCGGGCAATAATTCTTATAATTCACACCAGTTTGCGGAAGTAAGCGGTTTTGCGCGAGCGCACCCGCATCGAATCCACAAATCATTCCCGGACCTTACCATATATATATATATATATATATATATATATATATATATGTGTGGGTATATACACATATATATATATATATATATATATATGTATGTCTCTACACGGGTACGCCATGATTTACGGAGCTGTCGAGATTATTAGGATTCTGCCACAAAAGTCGAAATTCGAGATGCCGGATCTCCGTCGGGAAATCAGACATATGACGACGAGGCAGGCGCGTTAAGTACGATCTGAAATGCGAAACGTAATTACGTCGTGATTAAGCTGCATTTTGGATCGGTGTCGGTGGATGCAGTTGCCTTAACACGTTATTAGAATATTTTACGATCAACCCCTTTACAATATTCACATATTTTTGAAAATCTCGCTAGATTTTCTCCCTGAAATATAAAAATCCAAAAATGTTACTCTTGATAAATTCTTATTTAAAATTTACAAGTGTTCGATGATGATACTATAGATTTGTTGCAATCGCTTACGAGAAATTTAGTATTCAACCGTCTCGCGTACATTATTCCGTGATGAATATTAGTGTTATAAAACAAGACGTCACGCATGAAAAAATGCCGTAAACTCGACTACGTGCGTATGCAAAGAGCGAAGGCAAGAAAGAAGATCGACGATCGTAAAGCCCGAGGTTATTCGAAATCCAGGCCGGAGAAAGCAGTGAAAGGGCGATGAGATTAAAATTCAAATTATAACGCGCGTGTAAAAAAGAGGAAGAAAAAAAAGGATAAAAATGTAGTCGAACCGGCGGCGAATCATACGTTCCCGATTGCAGCTCGGGCTGTCAAACGGGTTTACTCGCGAGGCGATATGCAAAAGAGGGACGAGGTCCACGATCAATGCGAATACGTTGGCACAAAGGATGTCAAAGGAATCCAATAAACAGCGCGCGAAGGAATTCGATTGGCTACAAACTCAGGTATATTACGCGAGTTCGTAATAATCTAGAAATACGTTTCCATGTCGAAGCTATCACGTCGAACAATCAACGCGTCTTCATAAACTCGTTTGATTAATGCCCATATAAAGTAACGTGACAAACGCACACGCTATATCGTTTTTTTGATTGGCGAAAATCCAAAGAGCCAATTGACCTAGATCCAGGGTGAGTGTATACATGTACACGTATACGGAGACACAAAAACTATCACCAGCGGCGAGACCATCATCGCGAGCAATAGTATGTTGGTACTTTCAAACAAATATACGTTTTACAAAACAGGATATATAACTTTTTCATATGTCCATATCACACGATACATATTTGATGTTTTCAAAATTTAATAATTGATATCCAATATTCATTTCAGTATTGAGGCTTCGCGTCCAATAAAAATATCTTTCTACAAATTGTTTCATTTGTTTTAATTACAATTATATATGTGTGTAAATTGAATCTATCGAATTATTCCTCGCTTCGAGCAAGTGTAATTAATTTCGCGCAACGATAAAAAAAAATCCAAGTACGAGATTAGTAAAACATTCCCTAGCTCGCTTACGCTGATTCTTTCAAGAGTTTAAAGGGTAAGATTCGCTTAATGAGGCAGAACGTGTAGACGCGGTCGAGCACGCGAGAAAGAAAATAATGCACTTTCCGTATTAGAGTGATTATGAAAACTAAAAAAGGGTTAGAAGAGGAAGAGACGAGATGACAAGGTGTATTATTTAAAGGCGACGACTCCTTAGTTAAGACCCAACGATGACGCGCGGTGCAGCCGTAACGAGACGCAGGTGAAACGCCGCGAGGAGGAAGAGAGATGAGGCGAACAAACAGAGATTGAAGCTACTCGCATACCGCCGTCGTATAGCAGCGGCACGACGCGGTGGTTGTGCTGCTTGTTTAGCTATGTTAGCTTTGGCGTGCTCCGCCTGCAGGCTAGCCCTTCCTTATCCGCTTTCGTTACCGCATGACAGACGTGCTTCCGCCCTTATTGTCGGACGGCCGTGCAGCTAATTTCACCCCATGCGAAATGTCTATCCGCGTGTGCGCATCGCGTCCTCTGTCTCATCCCGGAACTCATTTACCATAATACTTGCAGATGGTATAATCATATTAAGCGCCGTCGGGGATGGATGTATCGCGATGCCGCGCGCGCACCAGGGTTAATAAAGTTTAGCGTTGCGCTCCCGCAAAATCCGCGTAAAAAGATTCCGCCTTTTTCCCTCGCTGCGCTTTTTCATATACGCGCGAAATCTACGATGTACTCCGCTATTTACGGAAATTCAATGGAACCGAGAGAGACGATCATTTCGGAATTGTATCAGCCCTGCTCATTTAATTATACGCTGTACCATTGCGTTCGATAATAATTAATGCAACTACTAAGGGCTATACGATTGTGTATATATATACGTGCAATTATGTTGCAGTTCCTTATCCTCGTCTGCGCTCTGCTTGCCACCACGATGGCGGCTGAATCGGACAACAGTGATGGACAGCAAACCGGCAGATCGCGGGTTTCCGATGAACAACTGAATATAGCACTGAGCGACAAGCGTTACTTGACCAGACAGCTTAAGTGCGCCCTGGGAGAAGCGCCGTGTGACCCTGTCGGACGACGTCTGAAAAGTACGTCCCCTTCCTTATTCTCTTTTTTGAGTAAATCCATCGCGAAAAGTTCATATTCCGCGATTATCCCGAACAAGACTTCAAATAAGATTATAATCCTCTTTGCCTGGCGCATCAATGAACTCGCGCCGAAAAAAAGATCAACTCTCTCTCATCAACTTTTCACCAAGAAAAGAAAAGAAAAGATAATATAAGAGAGGAAAAGGAAAGATATCCTGCGATATTTTCTTATTTAATTGGAATATTGATATTTAGTATATCGAAAATAATTGCGAGCAAGGAGTTTGCAGCTAGCATAATTTCGCGATGAGTTTAATTTCCAGAGAGATACGCGAACAAGTATGTCGCGCTAATTGTCTCGTTTCCATTGTCGCAGAGTAAACATAGATATGTCGAACACTTTTGCACGTTTGTAGAAATTCGAACTCGGAATCCGAAAATTTGGAAATTACACCAGTGCACACAAATACCTTATTAAAGATATTAAATATTGGAATAGTTATCACGAATACGCTATTTATATTACGTGTATTTATCTTCTTTGAGAGGACAGATATTTCACATATTCCTCTCTTCCTCATTTTTATTTTTTATGCGCGCAATTTTATTTCATAGAAGATCAAAATTAGTATCGGAGACTATGTATATATACTATATATTCGCGAAAATGTAAAACGTTAATTAAATATTATGTATTGCGATAATATTACATGTACATATATACGAATACTGTAATATTATTCTGCAATAATATTACATGAGTCTTGAGAAGAATTATTCACGCGCGTATAAACTTAAATACTACGTAAAACCGACCCAGAAATTCTGTTGGAGATTTGTATATCGTTATTTTATCTAGGTTTAGTGCCGTTGGTTCTGAGAGGCTCCTGTCCGCAATGCAGCCAGGAGGAGACACGTCAGATCAAGAAGGTCCTTTCTCACATTCAACGATCTTACCCGAAGGAGTGGACCAGGATAGTGCAACAATATTCCGGAGTTTGATAAACGAAATATTATATAAGTCGATTACGACGAGGCTGAGTATACAAAAGTACAGTAAACGAAAAGATATGTATAATGGCTATTTACATCTATGAGGGAAGAAACAATTGATCATACATTCGTCTATTCGACGATATTATTGTTAAGCATCGAAAAAAGTACAGCTCAGCTGAAAGAGATATTTAAATATTACCGCATATATAGATACGTATATCAGATAATAATTTGTTGAATGTAAAATATGAATAAAATATGTATTAAAAAATGATATATTATCTGTTATTTAAAATGTTGAATCTATATACATAAACTATATATATGTATGTTGTTTGATATATTTTATGAATAAAGATTATTCTTGTATTATCAAAATAAGATTTCTCTTCTTAATTATATCTGTTAATTATAATTAATCGCGTATTAAAAAACAAGATTTGTAATTAAAAACGATTCTATACTTAGTATTAAGTGCATTATAATTTTAATATTGTATCAGTTTATTCCTCAGTAATTATAATGCATTGTGTTAACAAGCATAAGTTATTAAATATAATATATATATATATATGTTATACGCGAATTTTTTTATAGAAATTGCCTCGTAAAAAATTCCGCAAAATACGAGCGAATCACGAGATTACAAAACATAGTTTTATATGAATAAGTTACAAATGCAAAAAAAAAAAAAAAAAAAAAAAGAAAATAACTAACGTAAACAAAAAGTAATATCCTAGATTGCTATTTTATATTATTTAGTCGTTGTTTCTCGTCTATTTTTAATTTCAACAGCAATTATATTAGCAAGATATTTTTGCAATCACATAAAAATAATATTATATATGCTGTTTTAATTTAATTTAAAATTTATTTCGTTTGTATCAAAATTGTAATTTTATTTTACTAAAAGCTAAAGTTACAGGAAACATAAGAGAATTTGTTTAATACGAATATTTCTTCTTTTCGTAAAAATATCAGAGTGAAATTTTAGAATTTTAATATATTAAAACATTTTTTATTTTTATCTCTGATACACGTGCATTTCTCGTTTATTGATAAGTTTTTAATTTTTAATTTTTATTTTTTTTTTATCGCAACACACACAATTTGAGTTGTATCTTCTATCCTGAATCGTATTAATCGCAACACTGACGCATGCTTATACGCGTTCGTTACATTAAAGCGTGATTCGCATTCGCAATGCATAATGCCGATTAGGGATATTGGCATTAAATCTACACGTAATCTACGAGAACGAGCCACGTAACACGCGTTGTTATTAGGGCTTATAAGTATCCCACGATTTCGCAAGGGTTATTGGATGTTTGACCAGCTTTATCGAGTATTAATGACGATCAACAAGTTGCTAATTTATTTGGCACATAATTAACACTATATCTCCGCACCTCTCCGCTATTCAACCGCCGTGATTGCACCCTGATTCGGATTTCACTGCCCTTGCTGTGAATATTAATTCTACTGTACCTCGATGTCAAAGCCCTCGTATGCATGTTAATTTAAGTTTGCCCTCTATATCTACGCTAGCTGCGCAAAGACAGATTAGTAATTAAACTTTGTAAGCACCGATAAAAGTGCACGAGTAGCGCAGCAATAATATCGTCGTCTTAACGTACGAAAATACGTGTCTCAATATTTGCGTTACTTCCCGAGAGAACTATTGTATTTGAAGAAACTTTTCAGCTATCAATTGTACTTCAAATTGAAATACATTTAATTCACTGCTAATAAAAAATTTCCGAATAAAATTGACAATAAGTCACGGCAATTTGTTAGCAAGCGGTTGCTACTTTTAAAGTATCGAGCTAAATTGAAAAGAGATTTGTTTTTCGATATGCCATTAATAAAAGCCTTCCCTTGCCGAATACTGGGTTATTGAGTTTTAAGAATATTTTATAAAACTCATGCAATATTCTAAAAAAAAAAATTTCATTTGTATGCATTGTATAAAAAAATCTCAATATATATAATTTTTCTTTTAAAATAATTTTTCTTCTTTTTTAAATGTATGTATATAGTGGTGTTTATTAAAGAAAAAAATAAAAAATACAATTATATAATTATGTGTAATTAAAATGTAAAATAAAAATGTCTACAATATGTATAAAAGAAATTTAATTGTGAATCAAAATTGCATGAGATTATTACGCCATTTATGTCTGATTTAAAATCTTAAAAAAAGTAGAAAAAGAAGTTAAATCTAATAATACTAATATTAAAATAACACGTTTCAAAGTATTGCAATTATGCAAATATGCATCAAATTATATTTTCAAACTCAAAACATTCTATTAAACAGTAGGTACAGAGAGACTATTATCAGACTCCTAGAAATAGGTATTATCTTTCGATATGGAAATCGTCGATTGACTATCGATATTTTTAGCAACGGAACGATCAATGAAACGAGTATTCTTATAATTACAATATATTCTCTTCCTGCTACAAAAATCACGACGAGGATATAAACATACAAATAATTATGCATTGTCCTAACGATGATAAACAAATCTCCTCGCAAATTGTGAATCTTTCAATGACACTCGCGCATCTTCGGCTGACTATTTATCGACTACGTGTACCCAACCGTTCAAACTGGTTTTCGATTATGCTTCCCCGGGAAAAGCGAAGATCTCGACAATTCGGAAAATCCGATTTGCCACTCCGTCTAGCCTCGCAAAATTCAAAATTGAAGTCTGCGTAGGAATAGGCGAAGAAAGATGCTGACAATTTCCACATAAGTGCTCATGGTACAGTGTGTTTCTAAAGTGCTTAAACAAGTTTCACAGATTTAATCTGCAATCGACATAAAAATCATTGTTTGAAACAAAAATTTCATATGGGCATAAATAAAATACAAAATTGAAAGTTATCTCAAATTAAATTTTAAAGATAGATATGATTAACAAAGTTGCGTCACCAATTTGAAGTAAACTTTATTTTAATAAAATTTCGATTCTAAAATGTGTTGTCAACAATATTTAATATTTAAAGTTAAAAGAGAAAAAGTAGAAAGATCCCCTTAATAAAATTTCCGCTAAGAGAAAATTGATTCCAACTTGATCGGGAAACACATCTACAAAGTTGGCCAAAGTATTTCAGTAACATCCTGTACAAAGTGTGTTGCGAGAAGATTCAACTCACGTAACGCTTGCATTTTGCATCAGTGCGACGCGATGCAATTTAGACAGTTCGTCTCGCGAGATGCAATATGAAGTAGGCGCGTAGCGATTAAATCAACCACGATCAAAATCGCGAGCGCGCGCATTTTCATATCGCGCCGGATCGAACTTTCGTCCGACAGATATTGAACCGCTGAATATAATTATACCCTTCGTCGGCTGTGATTTCGTACAAGTCGCGGAATGTCGTCGTCTCGTCGACGACTAGTCGAAGTCGAAGCTGCTGCTGTTACTGCCGCTTCCGTCTTTCGGCAAACATTTGTTCTTCTTGATTGATACGCGATAATACACTTTCATTCGGCAGGGACAAATATTGAATCCCGTCGAAGAAACGAGGAGACGGTATTTGCACACTTCGTATATATATCGCGCAAATGATATATTGCACATATGTGTTTTATGTACTTGCACACTCGTCTACAATTTTATTGCTCATCCGCGAACGGGAACTTTATATTTACACCCCGGCGAACTTAAAATTTTCCAATTCCCCTGAGGAATCGAAGCCGAGCTAAAAATCGTTCGCTATATCCAAATAGCAGCGAGCCGTTGCGAAACACATTCGGCGTGTACTTTAATTACTTTTAATTACGCTAAACGACCTGCGACAATACTCGCGTTCGTAATTAAAATTAAGCCAGGCAGATGTGTACAGGGTATATTGAAAATCGTTAGACGTAGTTTCGACGGAATACCAATTCGAGTACTCGAACTTGATTCGAGTTAAGAAACAAAATATCGTCGCGGGAGAAATAAGAGATTAGAAATAGGAAAGAGAGATAGATCTTCGATTCTTTTTACTATTATCAGCGAAACTTTGCCCTTATTTTCCCTTACGCAGCATACTAAGAACGATATGTATAATGTTTAGCGTTGTGCCACGAGCAATTTTCCGAAACGACGACGCTACGAGTCGCTTCGGCAAAGCTGCATTATATAGCCGTAAGATTATTCCAGTGTCGAGCAGATTTCCGCGGTCGTTCGATCGCGACCCTCGCTTTATAATTCGTTATACGAGCGTGATAAAACGATCGTACCCCATTCCGCCGCGCGATCCACAACCGCCGCAACCGCTGTCGCCATCGCCACCACAAATCCACGACGTCGTTAATACGACCAGTCTTCAACGTCGCCTGAAAATTCCCTCGGCGCACGGCTCATCCTAAGGGATCATCATTTCCACCCTTTATCGACCATCGTACAAAAGGCAACTCGTTTTGCCCGATGGAAAACAGATAAAAAGATCCCTCTTCGTTCTTTCCTCTTTATCTATATATAGATATATAGATGCACGTATAGATATAGGTATCTATAGAATATATATATATACACCGGAGGTACGTACGAAACGCTAAGAGAATCTGCTGAGAGAACTCATGAGGGAGGGAGGAAAAAAACTTCCGACCAAAAGTTTTCAACGAGAAAGAGACTTCGTTGAACGGTACGTAGGTCTGGGTGAGAGTGATTTCTTTGGTTCGCCGCTCGCCGACAAACTTCACATTTTTGCAGCACCAGCCGCCTTGCAGTTGAGATTCTCGCTCTCTTGCACTGGTGTTCAAGTGCGCGATTAATATTTTAATACGGCTCCTCGCACCAAGCAGAAATTGCTACCCCGCTTAAGGGAATTATCCGTGAAACGTTTATCTTATTTCGTTTCGCGCGTTTTTCTCCTTCAGGATTAAAAGCTTGATGCTTAAATAAAGCTCGAAATTAAATTTCTATCGAGGCAATGTCCGATTAAATAAAAAATCTATATCTAAAAACAAATTAAAAGACATAACGGCAATAAAGAAAGTCTAATAAAAAATTTCCACATATTTACCATCCTCAACCTTAATCTGATTATTAATATTCGTTCAAGATTTCGCTCTGTAAAAAATAAGCGTTTCCATATAACATACTTGTATAAAAAAACGTCTTTATCCCCAAAAGCAGCTTCCAAAAAAAAAAAAAAGGAAAAAAAGAAGTGTGAAAGATTGACTGCCAGTTTTCTCTCGCGGACACGTGAGAGCAACGTTTAGCCGAGAGAGGCATCGTTTGCGTCGCTTTAATTACGTTTGAGAGCATGAGG